TTAGGGTTTAGGGTTCAGATGGCATTCCTCGTGGATCATGTGCCCTACTGGGCTTCAGCCCGGTATCCCTGTGAACCAGAATCTCTGACTCACGACACCGTAAATACTAAATAGTCTACAGACCCCAAAAGAAGGCCTAAATAAACCCTAATTAGGGCTTGATTTGGCCATATTGGGCTGGGGGGGGGGAGTGCATACGGGGGAGTGCGGAACAAGGTTCTTGAACATACTAAATCCTAAACCCTAACCCTAAACCCTGAATCCTACACCCTAAACCCTGAACCCTAAACTAAACCCAAAAACTCCAAAAACCCTAAACCCTAAAAACGCCAAACCCTACACCCTAAACCCTAAACCCTAAACCCTAAACCCTAAACCCTAAACCCTCAAGGCCAGGATATATGGAAAATGTATGTGACTCACTGAGGGAGTTGGCAATTTCGAGGAGCTACAATCATTCTTCAAATTATGAGCTTTTCGACAGGTTACAAAAAGCCCTCACCCCAAAGCCTAAACCCTAAACCCTAGACCACATGGCTTCAAGATACAGGTCGTCAAGGCGCCAAAAGCGCAAACTGAAACCTTCGTTCAAAAAAACCTTCGCTCAAGGCCGTTCGCACCCAACCTTGCCTTCGAATGTTCAAGTCCAGAAGTTTCAGTCGGGATTTAGGGCTAAGGGTTTAAGGTTTAGGGTTTCAAAACATTTTCAAAAATAATCGTTCAACACTTTCCTTCAACATTTTTTTTGGGCAAGGCCTCTCCAAGCCTGGCCTGGAAGGCCTGACGGTGTTGGGTTCGCAGAGGAAAACATTTTGTACTCAATGAGGAAAAAAAACCTCCCCTTCCCCCCCCTTCCCCCCCCTCCCCCCCCCTCCCCCCCCCCTTCCCCCCCCTTCCCCCCTCCCCGCCTTTCCTCCCCTTCCCCTTCCCTTCCCGCCCCCTTTCCCCCACCCCCCCCCTTTTTCCCCCCCCCCTTCCCCCGCCTTCCCCCTTCCCCCCCCCCTTTCCCCCCCCTTCCCCACCTTATTCCCCCCCCCCCTTCCCCCCCCCCCCCCCCCCCCCCCCCCCCCCCCCCCCCCCCCCCCCCCCCCCCCCCCCCCCCCCCCCCCCTTAGCGAAGCCTTGAGACAACTTGGGGTTTCGAGTTGAGGGTTCAGTTTCGAGTTTAGGGTTCAGGGTTTGGGGATTCGGGTTTGGGGTTTAAGGTTTGGGGTTTACGGTGTAGGGCTTGGGGTTTTGGGTGCAGGGTTTAGGGTGTCGGGTTGAGGGCTCGGGGTTCCGGGCTGTGTTTAGTATTTAGGGTTTATAGGGGGTAAAGTTTACCGGCGGGGTTCAGGGCGTGTGGTGTGGGGTTTAATTAGTATTTAGGGTTTAGAGTTTTGATTTTGAGGTTCAGGGTTTGGAGGTTTCGGGGTCTATGGGTCTGAATGGGTTCTAAGGTCTACAGGAAACCAAGCAGTCCCTGCAATCTAGGATATGCTGTTGGGAAACCTCCAACATTGAAACCGAATCACAACACAGTGTTTAGGGTTTAGGGCAAGCATTCCTCAGTCCAACCCTATTCACACCAACCCAGGAGTCCATGCGCCTGTATTGCATATACTTGTTCCCTCATGCTAATATATTTCGATATATAGATGGGATGAACCCTAAACCCTAAACCCTAAACCCTAAACCCTAAACCCTAAACCCTAAACCTTAAACCCCAAACCCCAGCCCCAAACCCCCAAACTCTTAGCGGCAGGGGCCCGACCCAGCCCCGAAAACCCCCTCCTTGCTGCGACTCTGAGCCGGAGCGCTTCGCGTTCAAGGTTTAGGGTTTAAAGTTTAGGGTTTAGGGTTCAGGGTTCAGGGTTTAGGGTGTATAGACCATAAGGGCTCAGGTGCCTAGATAGTATATACTTGGGCCCGGATGCTGCTGCGTGGGGGCCCCTTTAAGGCCCAAGTAGTAGAGACTCGGGTCCAGGTCTCAGATTGGCCAGTAAAGCCGCATGTAAGCCTCCAGCCCTGAGGTCCCCAAAGCCTAAACCCTAAAACCCGAGCCCTGAACCCTAAACCCAATTTAGCTGATAGCTGCGGAACCCCAAACCTGTCGATCCTCAAATGGGTGGGCCAACAGCTTTCTTTTGAGAGTGGCAATTGCTGGTGGAAGATATCTTCTTGGAGGCAACACTGACAGGAGTCAAGCCGCGGTTGTTGGCCCGCCTGCGGCCTTGTCCTTGCTTCCGTCGTCCGTGGCCTTGTCCTTGTCTGCACCTGCATCCACCAGCAAACGCACCACTTCGAGGTGGCCTTTCTGTGACGCCATGAAGAGAGGGGTCTTGCCGTCGCCCACGGCGTTGTCCTTGTTTGCACCTGCATCCACCAGCAAACGCACCACTTCGAGGTGGCCTTCCTCCGCAGCGACGCAGAGAGGGGTCCAGCTGTCGTCTGTTATCTTGTCCTTGTCTGCATTTGCATCCACCAGCAAACGCACCACTTCGAGGTGGCCTTCCTGCGAAGCGATGCAGAGAGGGGTCCAGCCATCGTCTGTGGCCTTGTCCTTGTCTGCACCTGCATCCACCAGCAAACGCACCACTTCGAGGTGGCCTTGTTGTGACGCGATGAAGAGAGGGGTCTTGCCGTCGTCTCTGGCCTTGTCTTTGTCTGCGCCTCCATCCACAAGCAAACGCACCACTTCGAGGTGGCCTCTACGCGAGGCAATGCAGAGAGGGGTCCAGTCGCCTTTGAGGCCCTTGTCCTTGTCTGCACCTGCCTCCACAAGCAAACGCACCACCTCTACGTGGCCTTTATTCGAGGCCATGCATAGAGGGGTCCGCCCCCGCCCGTCTCTCAGACTGGGATCATGGGGTTCCCGGAGCAAGGCTTCGACAACCTTGGTGTCGTTCATCGTACTGGCATCAATCAGTTCTTCCATTTTGCTGGCATCTGCTTGGCAAAAGTCGCAGACGACAACCTGCACCATGAGTGGCAGCTGCAAGTCCGCGTCATGGTTCAGAATCTGGCCTTGGCTCACAAGCTTTAGCCGGAAGCGGGGCTGGCCCATTTTTGCTGCCAAAAACCGCTCAATGACTCCTGCCAGGCTCTCGTTTGTCTGCATCAGTGATTCGATCTGGTCTGGAGGCAAGATGGCCACATCCTCCCCGTTGAGGTTCTGGATGCGAAGCATGGCCGTGGCAGCTCTTGTCTTGGGACTTGCGGCTTTACTCAACACTTTTTTGTTTCAGGGTGGCGACTCGGAGGTTTTTAGCCGTGCAAGGCTTCTAGCTTCTAGGGTCTAGGGCTTAGGGTTCATTAGGGTTCAGATGGCATTTTTTGTGGGTCGCGGGGCCGTACGGGGTTTAGGTTCCAGGGGTTTGGGGTTTAAGGGACTTGGATGAGCAGCGTCTTGCCGCGTAAGCCCCAAAGCCCGGTATCCCTGCGAACTAGAATGTCTGAGCCACGACAACCTAAATGTTCTACAGACCCCCCTAACCCTAAACCCTAAACCCTAAACCCTAAACCCTAAACCCTAAACCCTCACTACCCCCTCCCCAACACTAGGCCTAAACAGACTCAAAGTAAGGCTTGATTTGGTATCAGAGCTGGGGGGGGGTTATAAGGGGGGAGTCCGGAACAAGGTTCTTAAAAAACACTAAACCCTGAACCCTAGACCTTAGACCCTAAACCCTAAACCCTAAACCCTACACCCTAAACCCTAAACCCTCAAGGTCAGGATGTTTGGAAGATGTATGTGATTCGCTGAGAGCTTGCAACCCTAAACCCTAAACCCTAAACCCTAAACCCTAAAGCCGAAACCCTATCCGGGAAGGCCTGACGTTGTTGGAAAGGCAGAGAGAAATATTTTCAATCCCAAAAGACGACGAAGACACACCTGGAGAGCCATCACAAAGGAAAACTTTTTCACAAGCACAAGAAAACCCGACAAAACACCTCCGGAACCCCCCAAAACCCCCCCAAAACCCGACAAAAGAACCGACAAAGCCCGACCAAACTCCGGACAGAAGCCCTTCACAATTTCCATAGGCCCTGGCCCTAAACCCTAAACCCGAAACCCTAAACCCTAAACCCCTGAGGCTGGCCGGACACCATTTTCGCGCAGGAGGGCGAAGGTGCGCATCCAGGCCCCTTCAACTACGGAAGCGAAGCCTTGATGAAACTTGGGGTTTAGGGTTTAGGGTTTAGGGTTTAGGGTTTAGGGTTTAGGGTTTAGGGTTTCGGGGTTTCGGGGTTTCGGGGTTTCGGGGTTTCGGGGTTTGAGGTTCAGGGCTTGATAATGTTTAGTATCTATAGGGTTCAGGGTTTGGGGTTGAGGGTTTATAGGAATTCGAGTTTAGAGTTCAGCGGTCGGGGTTCAGGGCTTGGGGTTTGGGGCTTGGTATTTAGGGCTTAGAGTTTAGTAGGTGAGAGGGGACCAAACAGTCCCTGCAATCTGGGATATGTTTAAGGAAACCTCCAACGTTGAAACGGAATCACAACACAAGGTTAAGCGTTTAGGGTTGCGGGTTTAGAGTAAGAGCATTCCGCAGTCCAATCCCATTCATGGCCACCCCAAGAGTTTATGTAGATGGGATGAATAGATGGGAACCCCAGTCAATACGAAACACATCTTTCCCACCATAAACATACCCTAACACGCCCCCAAAACACTCTCCTGACCCTAAACTCTAAGCCTGATTTTGGCCACCCGCCCCCCCCCCCCCCCCCCCCCAAAAAAAAGGAAAAAACAAATAAATACATAATAAATGCAAATAATAATAATAATAGTAATAGTAATAATAATCAGACATACATACATACATACATACATACATACATACATACATACATACATACATACATACACACATACACACATACACACATACATACATACATACATACATACATACATACATACATACATACATACATACATACATACATACTAAATAATAACAGGTACATGGACTCTTGGGGAAAGCTGGGGCCCGCTTCCCAAAAAGAAACGTTCGCCAGCGATCAGCACGAGAGGATGGAACCTTCACGGGCCGGACCCCCGGAGGCAATGGAAGCACCTGCCGGAGGTTCAGGGTTTAGGGTTTAGGGTTTAAGGTTTAGGGCCAGTTTAGGGTTTAGGGTGCCAGGGATTATGCGAGAAGAAAGGACGATGAGACTACCCTGAAGTCGACCAAGATCCCTGAACCCCTTAAACCCCTTAAACCCCGAAACCCCTTAGCCCTACTCCTAAACCCTACACCGGCCAGCTCTGCGTTTCGGGCTCTAGGGTTTTTGGGTTCAGGGTTTTTTTTAAGTTTAGGGGGTGTAGTGGGGATGATCCCCTTATACGACCACTCCTCTCTAGGGATTCTAAGCGGGTGTATGATCATCACTTTTAAGGACTCTTCGACAAAGGGGGCACATCCCAAGGCCCTAAACCCTAAACCCTAAACCCTAAACCCTAAACCCTAAACCCTAAACCCTAAACCCTAAACCCTAAACCCTAAACCCGTAGGGCTTAGGGGTGTTTAGGGTGCCAGGGTTTGAGGGCAACTCTCGCTTGTGGACTATGCGCAGGATCAACAAGGAGGCATCGACAGGCTTAGGGTTTAGGGTTTAGGGTTTAGGGTTTAGGGTTTAGGGTTTAGGGTTTAGGGTTTAGGGTTTAGGGTTTAGGGTTTCGGGTTTCGGGTTTCGAGTTCAGGGTTTAGGGTGGTACCACCAGCCACGGGTAACATAAGGTTTAGGGTTCTAGGGTTCTAGCACATAAGCTCTCTACACCATACACCCAAACCCCAAGCCCCTAAACCCTAATACCCTAATACCCCAAACCAAAACCCCCAAACCCAACCCTGGAGTGAGCCTTGAGAATAGATGCTGGACTCCTGCGGCAAGGCAGCTCAGATGCACAGATCCTACAACTTCTTCGCATCCTAAATGTCCCACAGGTGTAAAGTGTAGGGCTTGGTTTCGTTTTGGGGTTTACGGGGTCCCTTCAACCAAAAACAACTCTAAACCCGAAAAATTACACCCTGAAGCCCTCATCGGGAAGCATAGATTCCCTCTTGTAGCAGAGGCTCCTGAAGTTGGGAAGGATGAGAGGTATGCGGACAACCGCACATTACATCTTTACGTTTTTAAGTTTAGAGGGTCTAGGGTTTAGGGCTTTTTGTTGCTCAAGTATGACCCCTGTATAGTTCCAAGAAAAAGACGGAGCCAGACCGCCATCTGGAGACCTGACAATACCTGAAGCGCGCTCTGCACATAGACAAGAGACCTGTAAGCTGTGAGCAGCCAGTTGTCAAGGGGGCGCTTTGTGGGCTTAAGGTTAGGGTTTAGGGTTTAGGGTTTAGGGTTCAGGGTTTAGGGTTTTAGGGTTTAGGGTTTAGGGTTTAGGGTTTAGGGTCGAGGTTCCACACAGCGTCCGCAGATCCTCTGCCCGAGGTGCCCTGTAGCGCGATGCCTGCGTTCCGCCTCCCCCTACTAGGGTCTGCAGTAATTAGCCGAGGAATTCGGAGGGCACCTTGTTTTGCCCAATTTCATCCGAACACCAGACCATCTAAACCGCCTCCGAAACCCAAAGCCGCTGAACCCCAAAACCCTAAACCCTGAGCCCCAAACCCTGACCCTCAAAGCCTTAAACCCTGAGCCCTCGAACCCCAAAGCCTTAAACCCTGAGCCCCGAACCCCAAAGCCTTAAACCCTGAGCCCCGTGTCCCAAAGCCTTAAACCCTGAGCCCCCGATCCTGAACCTAAACCCTAACCCTGAAAACCTAAATTTTAAAAGCCTGATCCCAAGAACCTCCCAACCCCCCCCACCCCCCGCAAAAAAGCTAAACAAAAATAGACTCGTGAGGGCCAGTCCCGCCGTAGGTGTTGGGGAGTCGGCTGCGTCGGCTGAGTGCCAGCCGAAGTAGTCCTCGGCATTGGGTTCAGGGTTTAGGACTTAGGGCTTGGCATCTCAAGTCCAAGCATCCGCTAGTTAAGCAGCTTGTCAAGCGTTGGAAGAATACCCTCCAACGCAAGATTCAAGAATCCCACAACATGTAGACCCGATAAACCCTAAACCCGAAACCCTAAACCCTGAACCCTACACCCCAAAAAGTTCAGTCTATACATTCCCAGTAGGCCTATCGCTCAAAGCACAGACGGCCCTAAACCCTAAATCCAAGGCCCAATAGACCCTGAACCCAAAAGCCCAAAGGCCCACAATGGACTCCCCCAAAACCCAAAGGCCCTTCAAACCCTCGAGCCCCAAACCCTGGGCCCTAAACCCTAGGGCCCTAAACCCTAGGGCCCTAAACCCTTGGGCCCTAAACCCTATGAAAAAACGCCCACGGACTTTTGACAATATGCCGGCTGCTTTTTTTGTGGTCCCCTAAGGTCAACAGCTCCGCTTCATCATGGTCTCCAACAGGGACCATAGTTTAGAGAATCTTCCCTCATAACCCACGCACAGTCCTTATATGAACACAAACGACCCTTACAAGACCCAGTAGAATTCACAACTCGTATCTAGGCCCCATGTGATAAGCTCGTTGCCACAAACTCTGGACCCTAACCAAACAAAAACTAAACCCTAAACCCTAAACCCTAAACCCTAAACCCTAAACCCTAAACCCTAAACCCTAAACCCTAAACCCTAAACCCTAAACCCTGCTCAAGCCTACATGCAGAAGTTCTCGGGATCCGGCACGATCTTCTCCCCTTGCCGGTATGGTGGCGGATCCGGATTCTTCAGGCTGCGGACATTGCGATAAAAGTCCTGAAAAGGGGGCTTAGGGTTTAGGGTTGGGGTTTAGGGTTTAGGGTTTAGGGTAGAGGGTTGAGGGTTTGGGGTTTAGGGTTTAGGGTTTCGGTTTTAGGGTTTAGGGGTTAGGGTTTAGGATTTAGGGTTTAGGGTTTTAGCGTTTGGCGTTTACGGCTTACGGTTGAAGATGTCAGAGAAGTTGAGACACAAGGTGGGTTGATCTCAAGACACTGACCATATAACATCATACAGAATTCATTTGACCCGGACAAAACAAAAAGAGCCCACTATGTAGACGAGCCCCAAAACCATAAACCCTAAACCTAAATCCTAAACCCTAAACCCTAAAGCCTAAAGCCTAAAGCCTAAAGCCTAAAGCCTAAACCCTAAATCCTAAACCCTAAACCCAAACCCCAAAACCGTCTGGTCAGGAAGCGCAGCTCCTCGAATGGCTTCACCAACATCTTTCGGCCCTCCTGCGCGCAGTAGACACCCTAAACCCTAAACCCTGAATCCTACACCCTAAACCCTGGGTTGCTCCCTGATACCTTCGTTAAGCCCTAGAATTCAGCCCTAAACCCTAAAACAGCAAATCTGGGATGTTCATGCCCTAAACCCTAAACCCTAAACCCTAAACCCTAAACCCTAAACCCTAAACCCTAAACCCTAAACCCTAAACCCTAAAACAGCGAATCTGGGCTGCTTCTGCCTTGTTGTGGAAGTACTTGAGCCACCAGGGAAGGAACTCGGTGAAGTCGGCCTGAAGCAGCCGCATTGCTCGGGTTTAGGGTTTAGGGTTTAGGGTTTAGGGTTTAGGGTTTAGGGTTTAGGGTTTAGGCTTTGGGGTTTAGGGTTTGGGGCTTAGGGCTTAGGGTTTAGGGTTTTGGGGTTTAGGGTTTACGGTTTAGGCTTTTTGGTTTAGGGTTTAGGGTGTTTGGTTTGTAGGGTACAGGACCTATTGTTGGGGGTTTAGGGCTTAGTAAATGGCTTTGGCCGGGGGAAATGCCCAGATGTTCAAGACATCGCCGCCCTCTGGCAACGAGGGTGTGCGCACTAGCTCGTTCTTGCACTAAATTGACTAAATGATGTCAAACACCCTCGAAGCCCCGGAAACGGCTTTTGCTGGACTTGCTGCAAGGACCCCTAAACCCTAAACCCTAAACCGTAAACCCTAAACCCTACACCCTAAACCCTAAACCCTATAAACCCTAAACCTTCTTTTGCCGGACTTGCTGCGAGTATTGGGTCATCCGTGCCATGAGCGTCACGCAAGACAATAACTCAACCTTGGAGACGAAATGAACCCCAAAATTAGGATCATACACCCCATACTACTATGACTCCTATTAGGGTTTAGGGTTTAGGGTTTAGGGTTTACGAACCATAAAACCCTTTTAGGGTTCACGTGGTCCCCAAGGAATAGGACAGGTTCACTCGGGGCCTTCCCATTTCCATCGTGGTCCAGCTCCTGCCAGAAGTACCTTCCCATGCAACTGAGGGCCTTGTTTAGGGTTTAGGGTTTAGGGCTTGGGGTTTAGGGTCCCTTAAACTTCATGACTATTGTCGTTTTCTGGGGGGGGGGGTCTGCAACCCTAAACCCTAAACACGCCGGTCGATACTTCACGCAGAACTTCTTGGCCCCAAATCGAGAATGTCTTATTTACGACTGTACGGAAAACACAGTCCTGTAGCCCGAAACCTTGTGGACAATCATGCTGTCAGGAAATTTCACCCACCCCTGATACATGATACGTGCGGAACAGAGGGTTTTGTAGCCCGACGAGCTTCGTCCATATTCCTTTGATTTACGGGGTATTCGAACTTTCTTGGTCACCCCACACCCTAAACCTTAAACCCTAAAACCTAAGGGGTAAACCATGGGTTCAAGCAGTCTATCTGCTGTGTTTTTGCAAGGGGGGGGAGGTCCTTTTAAGGGAGTTCTATTTGGGGTATAAAAGGGGTACCCCTATTTGGGGAAATGCCCACATCATGGTAGACAATACTAAAAACCACGCAAACCGGGCCTGACGCGATTCGCTGGCAGCTCGAGGTTCGGAGGAACCTGACTTGAAGGCTTCGGTAAGCTTTAGAAACCCTTTGTCGTACTGACTACAATCGTTAACATGCTCATTCACGCGACTGTCAAGATAAACGGTTGCTAGAATATTGTAGGTTTGCTGTAGTGTGTGTGTTCACTTTCCCTGCAAAACCCACCGCCCCAGCGATTGTGCAGATTTGACGAGGCGGGAGGGGGACCCTCCATCGGGAAAGCTTTGGGGAAGTCCCGACATGGACTCGCCATTTTTGGGGGCCAAGTCGGTGGTTTGGGGTTTGGGGTTTGGGGTTTGGGGTTTGGGGTTTGGGGTTTGGGGTTTGGGGTTTGGGGTTTAGGGTTTAGGGTTTAGGGTTTCGGGTTCGGGGCTCCTAAACACGAAGCCGCTGAAGGTGAGCCTGGAGAACTCGCCGCAGGACGTCGCTGAACTCCTGCGCGCTCAGGACCCCAAGACACTTCGAACCCTCCAACTTCTGGGATTCTCCGTTTAGGGTTTAGGGTTTAGGGTTTAGGGTTTAGGGTTTAGGGCTTAGGGTTTAGGGTTTAGGGTTTAGGCTTTAGGGTTGGGGGGTCTAGGGTTTAGGGTTTAGGGTTTGGGGTCTGTTAAGGCATTGCTAAGCTTCTTGGGTGTTTTTTGTTTACGATCTGCTGGTCCTTTTCGGAATCTCAGTCTGGGGGATGCGATCGCAACCCAAAGACCGCCTGAACCCCAAAACCCAACATCTTTTTGGGGCATCCCTTTTTTCGGGTCCATGAGAGGCCATCATCTGAATGAAGGCTTGAACCACCAGGGGACCCGCCCTAAACCCTAAACCCTAAACCCTAAACCCTAAACCCTAAACCCTAAACCCTTCGTTGCTCTCCTGCAAGCTGATGTCGCCTGAGCCATCCTCGTCCACGGCATCGAACTGACCTTATGGGGTACAAGGAGGGACCCCCTAGGGCTCAGTTGGGTTTGGGGTTTAGGGTTTGGGGTTTGGGGTTTAGGGTTTGGGGTTTAGGGCTGGGGTTTAGGGTTTGGGGTTTAGGGTATCCTTAATCCCTAAACGCCTAAAGCTTACCAATGAAAGCGTATCAATCTTCAGGAGACTCTTTCTGTCTGCGGGGCCTTGGCCGTATCTGAGACGGAGATGAAGATCAAGCGCAAGAACGGATGGCATCACACTCTATTTTAAAGCCTTTTGAAGACTCGAAGATTGCCTCTTGGAATCTCAGTACTAGGGGTTTAGGGTTTAGGGTTTGGGGTTTAGGGCTAGGGTTTAGGGCTAGGGTTTAGGGTTCAGGGTTTAGGGTCGCATTTATCCTAAACCCTCAAACCCCAAAACTCCGTACGTGTCGGATTGCTGAGGCCGCGGCGCTTGACGTTGTCCACCTCCTCCCAGGGGACTCCATACTGGCGGCTTAGGCGTCGGAGGTCCCTCGGAAAGCGTGAGATGAGGGTTTGGGGTTTAGGGTTTAGGGTTTGGGGTTTGGGGTTTCGGGTTTCGGGCTGAGGTCGTTTTCCACAACCATGCTGCTCCGTCCCGTCCTTGACTCTACAGAACCTACATTGGGGTTGATAGGGGCCCGTTTTTTGTAACCCCAAACCCTAAACCCTTTAATCCTAAACCACCCTAAGCCCTAAACCCTAAACTGAAATCTACGGCAACACACGCTTCCGGCCTCATATCCGCAGAGAGGATCAGCTCCTCCTGAAAGCTGTAGGTGGAGTACCTGGTCCAAACGGTTTAGGGTTTAGGGTTTAGGGTTTAGGGTTTAGGGTTTAGGGTTTAGGGTTTAGGATGCCTGCGCCGGGTCCTAGTGCCATACATACTACCAGGCTACCATGGCTACGACCCTCAGCTTTGAGTGGCATGGTCAGAAACTCTCCCGTCCAATCCATACTCTACTTCTATCTACACATGCATGCATGATTTCATGCATACACGAACACATAAAAACAAAAACATATACGTATAGCATATACGCAGCTTTATAAAGCTTTAGAGTTTTAGAGATTTATAGTCTCCCTCTTTCTGTCCTTCTTTCTTTCTTTCCTTCTTTCTTAGGTATCCCGAGATGCAGTCACCCTGAACCCTAAACCCTAAACCCTAGACCCTCAACCCTAAACCGCGTCATTTGAAAGCCCAGGAACCATTGAAGGAGCTTCAGCAAGTCCACGGTGCCGTCCAGGCCTGACATGCACGGCTACCCAGACCGCTGGGGTTATGGTTTAGGGTTTAGGGTTTAGGGCTTAGGGTTTAGGGTTTAGGGTTTAGGGTTAGGGTTTAGGGCTTAGGGTTTAGGGTGGTAGAAGTCCTAATATGGGGGCTTACCATAAGAATGAACGCCCCCAACAGAAGGCCCCTCAGAACAAGGACCCCAACAAGGTACCCTTGTTTTGTAAAACCCTAATACTTGGAAGGGTTCGGGGGTTATTATAGCGGGCCATAAGGGAATGCAATTAGGAATTATTCCGATCTCTATATTAAGCTCCACAACACCCTCTGAAGCCTACAAAACCTTGTAACATCCCAACAACCCCGGCAAAACTTGTACGACACCCTCGAAACCTGAAGCACTAAGTTAGACACTCTCCTAAACCCTAAACCCTAAGTCCTAAACCCTCAACCGTAAACCCTAAACACATGGCTGAGGAGAGTGCCGCCGCCGGGAAAAGTCACCGCGCAAAGTGCCTCGCACTGCGACAGCGTCGAGGCCTCGAAGCACCAAGGCGCTGACACACACTCATGGGTTACCATTTGCTTAAGAACCTCCCGCGGCTTAGGGTTTAGGGTTTAGTGTTTTTTAAGGACCCCCCCCCCCAAGAAAAACATATATGTATGTATATATATATATATATATATACATATATCTGATACGGGCAATACAGGGATTATTAGTCTGTGCTTTTTGGGTGGTTCTGAAGCAAATAGAGGTGGGCTTAGGAACTAACGTCCCCCGTTGTGGTATCGTCATCTATATTGAGGACACGCATCTCAGGCACATGACCGAACCCAAAAGAATGCCCATGATTGAGATCAACCGATGGGCGCTCGTCTGGCCAAAAACAGCTGCCACTAGCGGCAGCCATGCAATTGAACTCCCGAAGCCCTCAAACCGAAACTCTTAAAGCCTAAAACCCGAAAACTTGCATTGATTGTCATCCTCGTGCTTTGGTAGCGAACCTTAAGTTCCTCACAAGCAAGCACTACCTCCGAGAGCCCAGACGCTGCAGGTACTGTTCATGGTCCGGTGCAAGTGCAAGACTGCCTCGCAACCCAGTGCAGCTGACTGACGAGCAACCCCAAGCCCTTGGCACAAACTCCTGAAACCCAAACCCCAAGCGCAAAACCCTAAACCCCACGCCCTAACCCTAAACCCCAAACCCTAACCCCGACTTGCCGCGTCTCCCTTACCCAGACCCCCCTCTAGGGTAAGGCCTCTAACTAGTGGCTTGGGTTTAGGGTTTTGGGTGCAGGGTTTAGGGTTTCGGGAGACGGTCTAGTTTGGGGTTTAGGATTTAGGGATTAGGGTGTCGCAACGGGGACCGGTAATCGTTCTTTCGCTGCGTGGGTGCGCAAGTTCGATGCGAGTTCTTTCGGCCTCGGAATGCGCCGGAGAGCTTTCGACAATGGAGCCTTGTGTCGGCCGCGTCATTCTCCTTTGCCCACGCGCGTGTAAAGGGCAGCTCCCAACCCCTGACCAGCTCCGCCTTTTAGGGTTTAGTTTCCCAAACTGCTTTTTAGGAAACTTTGTTGGCTTCTGTCTTCGACCGGCAAAACAGCTGCCACCAGCCCAGATTCTTCGGGATAGTAGTAGTAGTAGTAGTAGTAGTAGTAGTAGTAGTAGTAGTAGTAGTAGTAGTAGTAGTAGTAGTAGTAGTAGTAGTAGTAGTAGTAGTAGTAGTAGTAGAGTAGTAGTAGTAGTAGTAGTAGTAGTAGTAGTAGTAGTAGTAGTAGTAGTAGTAGTAGTAGTAGTAGTAGTAGTAGTAGTAGTAGAGTAGTAGTAGTAGTAGTAGTAGTAGTAGTAGTAGTAGTAGTAGTAGTAGTAGTAGTAGTAGTAGTAGTAGTAGTAGTAGTAGTAGTAGTAGTAGTAGTACTACTACTACGACGACGACTACTTCTACTACTACTACTACTACTACTACTACTACTACTACTACTACTACTACTACTATTGGAGGCGCGCGCCACCAGCGCCTGCGTGTTTCGCGCACGGACATGCCCTCAAAACACCGGTATTTGCAGTACTTCTTGCTTCTTGGGCGGGGGGGGGGGGGGGGGGGGGGGGGGGGGGGGGGGATTAAAAACGTCCGTTGTCGCATGATGACATCCAGGACGCAAACATCGAAATTTTCGGTGTTTTTGCTGCTTGACTTGCTGATTTTTGTTTTTTGGCTCTTGAGGGGGTGGGGGGGGGGGGGTAAGGAAGGGGGGGGTGTTTAAAATTTCGCTTGCCCTCTGATGACATCCATGCCGGCAAACATGTTTTTTTTCGGTTTTTTGCACGTTGTTGCGAATTACGACGTCATGCCTGCAAAACATCGGTTTTTTTTTCGGGTTTTTGCTGGTTGTTGCAGATGCTGACGTCCATTGCCGCAACATCGGTCTTTTTCCGTTGTTTTGTTCTCGTGTGACGTCCATAGGGCTGCAAACATCGGTGTTTCGGTGTTTTTTGGCTCTTTCGGCTTGTGGGGGGGGGTCGAGAAGCCGCAAAGCCCCCAAACCCCACCCCCCATCCCCAAGAAAGGATAGCAACCATTTCTCTGTTCAAAAGTAGTTGCGCAAAACACAACATGCGATAACACAACAATGGCTCAAAACCCAAGCGAAACGCGCTTCTTCCCGCCCGCGCACCAGGCCGCCTGCAGCGCGCGGCTTATAGTAGTTAGTAGTAGTAGTTAGTAGTAGTAGTAGTAGTAGTAGTAGTAGTAGTAGTAGTAGTAGTAGTAGTAGTAGTAGTAGTAGTAGTAGTAGTAGTAGTGTAGTAGTGTAGTAGTAGTAGTAGTAGTAGTAGTAGTAGTAGTAGTAGTAGTAGTAGTAGTAGTAGTAGTAGTAGTGTAGTAGTAGTAGTAGTAGTAGTAGTAGTAGTAGTAGTAGTAGTAGTAGTAGTAGTAGTAGTAGTAGTAGTAGTAGTAGTAGTAGTAGTAGTAGTAGTAGTAGTAGTAGTAGTAGTAGTAGTAGTAGTAGTAGTGTAGTAGTAGTAGTAGTAGCAGTAGCAGTAGTATAAGTAGTAGAAGTAATAGTAGTAGTAGTAGTAGTAGTAGTAGTAGTAGTAGTAGTAGTAGTAGTAGTAGTAGTAGTAGTAGTAGTAGTAGTAGTAGTTGTAGTAGTAGTAGTAGTAGTAGTAGTAGTAGTAGTAGTAGTAGTAGTAGTAGTAGTAGTAGTAGTAGTAGTAGTAGTGGTAGTGGTAGTGGTAGTGGTAGTGGTAGTGGTAGTGGTAGTGGTAGTGGCAGTGGCAGTGGTAGTGGTAGTGGTAGTGGTAGTAGTGGTGGTAGTAGTAGTGGTAGTAGTGGTAGTGGTATGTGGTAGTGGTAAGTAGTGGTAGTGGTAGTGGCAGCGGTAGCGGTAGTGGTAGTAGAGGAGGGTTTAGGGTTTAGGGTTTAGGGTTTAGGGTTTAGGGTTTAGGGTTTAGGGTTTAGGGTTTAGGGTTTAGGGTTTAGGCCTCTGCTACCACCGAGAGCCCCAAGTACCGCTTTTCAAGGTGCCCTAAACATCGCCTCATTTTAGGTTCAACTTCGCCAAGCCTGTGGTATTTCGGAGGAACCCATAAAGGGTTTTGGGTTTGGGGTTTGGGAGTTTAGGTGTTCAGGGTTTTGGGGTTAGGGTTCAGGTATGAGATTTCTAGATCCTTCAGAATCCAGAGATCTCCTCGCACCAGTCAGCCCTGAGAATTCCAAAGACCATAGGGTCTGAACTAATGCACCTACAATTCATGGAAGCAACCTTATAACACCCACAAACTTTGTATGATTTTGCCCATGAGGTCCCATTGTCTGGACGACGGGGGGGGGGGTGGATAGTGGGGCGGGGGGAATGGGATTCGTTTGCTCTTGCCAAGGCACCAGGCTAGCCATACAAAGCCCTCATGCCCCCTGCGTCCCCAAACCCCTACTCCCTGAAGTCCTACACTCGAAGCCCTAGACTCCCTCAACCCAAAGAGAAAGCCCCAAACACCCGAAACCCTCAATCTCCAACCCTAAGCCCTAAACCCTAAACCCTAAACCCTAAACCCTAAACCCTAAACCCCCAAACCCTAAACCCGAAACCCGAAACCCCAAAACCCTACAACGCCGAACGCCCTTCGGGCCCTGGAGCTTCAAAGGCACCTGGACGAACCCCATGTACTCCAGCTGGCCCTTCCCGGCATCCTCAGGGTTCTTCGGCATGTTTAAAGGGGCCCTAAGTAGGGTTTAGGGTTTAGGGTTTGGGGTTTAGGGTTTAGGGTTTAGGGGGCCCTTAACTAAACCAAAACCCAACCCCGACACCCTAAATGCCCTAAACCTTAGACCCTAAACCCCTAAGCCCTAAACCCCTTAAGCTCTAAACCCCTTAAACCCCAGCCCTGCGACGACTCTCAGAGAATCCTCCTGCGCGGCTCGGGATTGGGGGTTTAGGGCTCAGGGCCTAGGGTTTAGGGTTCAGGGCATAGGGTTTAGGGCTGTGGTCAACACTGCGCAATTACCCCTTAAACCCTAAACCCTAAACCCTAAACCCTAAACCCTAAACCCTAAACCCTAAACCCTAAACCCTAAACCTGAAACATTATAAACTTTCTAGGGGGCTTCCCAAGTAACCCCCGGAGCAGTTCCTCAGCTCTTAGAACTCGAGGTACCCAAGTACTCTAAGCCCTAAGATAAAACCCGAAACCCTAAACCCTAGTATGAACTCTATACGAACCCTAAAGCCTAAACTCTAATATGAACTCCATACAAACCCTAAACCCTAAAGTTTAGTCATTCCAGGTAGGTTCCGCAGTCGGCCCGACGAATCCCAAAACGACGTCACAAAAGGGAGATGGGTTTGGGGTTTAGGGTTTAGGGTGTAGGGTTTAGGATTTAGGATTACGGTTTAGGGACACGTGCCGCTGGCCTGGGTTTTCGCGAGACGAAGTGGGGACTTCCTCCGGAAACTGCGATTGCTCCAAAGATTGCGACTGGAACTACGAAAGATGTCGAATTGAATTCCTGCTATTGCTACTACTATGGCCACAACCACTACGACAACCATGACCATGACAACTACCAACAGCAAGTACCACAAACCATGATGAGAGTGCTTCTGATTTCTATGATGCCTTCGAGCCTCAACCTCTAAACCCTAAACCCTAAACCCTAAACCCTAAACCCTAAACCCTAAACCCTAAACCCTAAACCCTAAACCCTAAACCTCAAAGCCCCAGCTTTAAGGGCGTGGCGTGTGCGTCAAACGCTGCCTTGATCAGCCGGGCATCGTCGAACTTGACAGCGGGAGGCGGGGTTAGGACTTGCGGCCAGGCATGTGTCGTAGGTACTTGGAGGTTCATGGTACTTATTAACTATAAGTGTACTTATAACCCACTTGTAAGCCCCTTAAGTGCCCTAATAGGGTCATAAGTACAGTTATAAGTACAGGTAGGGGTTGGCGCTTGGGGGCCGGAAGCGCCCTAGATCCTCTACATGCTGCAAGGCCTCCCAAACTCAGGATAGGAGGCACCTGATACGTATGTTCCTACTCTCTAAGAGCTCAGTTAACCCTAAATCCTAAACCCTAGACCCTAAAACTCAAACCCTAAAGCCTAAACCCCTTTCGGGTTCGGGAGGTTTTATTACCTTGGGAACCAAACGGGTATTTCCCAAAATACGGGTACTGGGTTCAGGGTTTAGGGTTTGGGGTTTAGGGTTTAGGGGGTACCCGTTTATACCTCAAATACAAGAAAGCCCATTGAAGGCACCCCAAGAAGGGCAACTCTATTTTCGGAAACCGCAAGTGAACTCTAAAAGGTTCATGGCCGACT